AAGACAAAGAATAATTTCTCACCTTCCTTTCTACATATAGTTCTCTCCAAATCTAGGACCTAGGACTCACCTGAGTTCCGGAGAAAAGTCTTTTTAAGTCCTTACAGGAAGACTGTGAAGCAAAAAATATGAAATGGGAGGCTGGGGTTATGGCCTACTTGAATGAACGTTAAAAGTTTTTTTTCTTTAATAAGCTGACTGCAAAGATGTATACTACTCTAGGTTTTTCCTACAATTAATTACAGTAGTCACCTTCAGAGGTCTACAAGCCTTTAATTCCTTTGGATCCAACCAAAGGAATAATCTCTCCACAGAATGAGATAATGTGTAGTATACTCCCTGATCCTTAAGGTGCATTTTCCGAATATATCATAATTTCACAGTTATACACTGTTAACTTAGAACCCTAAACATAGCTGGTATTACAAATGCTTTATGTAATCTAAATTGAAGTAATATCTTAGGTAAGGATATTGGTTACTTTCTGACATAGGTTTATTTTTTTCCAGCTGCATGTTTAGAAAATAATTAGAGGTATTATTTCAATTTTCCTTATTGAGGTAGATCAGCCTTACAGTCTCACCCAAAAATGTTTTCATTTTATCCCATGTACTTAATGATTTTCCCCAATTTTCTTCTTCTATAGCTTAGGAAAAAGTCTTTTTCTTAACGTGTCTGTTCTTGACTATATGTGTTCCAATACATGAGGTGACTATATAGATGCAGCATATTCCTTTACCGTAAAATAAAATAAACTCTGAACTAGATTATGTCCCTATTTTCATAACTAATGAAAGGAGAGAGATATGACTATAAACCACAGTTACAAAAGTAGATGAAGAACTTTTTATACACATACCTGAACTGTCTGGACTTGTGGAGACTGAATAACTGATGGCTGGGCCGCCTGAATAACTCCATGGACTTGGACTGTCTGCCCATTAGGCAGCTGTACTAATGTTACGGTGGGAGCAGATGATGTTGCATGAGCTGCTGGCATAGATACCTATTGTGTTGAACATGGAAAAAAATTACCACCACAGATACCTTCTTGGGAGTACTCATGTTCAATATCAAGCAAGATTTTAGCAGCAAAGAGATGACCTTTTTGCTCGGTAATTATTTCATTGGTGTAAAAGAAACTAATCATTAAATTTAACATTCTGAAAGAAAAAAAAAAAAAGACTACAAATCCCTCCCCCACCCCCACCTTTCAACTTCTTCCAAATGAGAAAAACAAAATACTATTTTAATGTAATATCAATATATTGGGTTAGCCAAAAAGTCCATTACATTTTTTCTGTACAATGGCTCTAGTGGTGCTTAGTTGTCTTTAACCTCACTTGAAACAGTTGTACAGGAACAAGTATAAAGGACACATGGACAAAAGCAGGGGTGGTGGAAACGGGAGGGAAGTGGGGAGGGCTGGGGGGGTGGGCTGAGATGGGAGTAAAAGGCAGAAAACTATACTTGAACAACAATTAAAATTATTTTAAAAAAAGAAACAGTTGTTAGATTGTATTGTGACAGCTGCCATATCAGTGTGCATTTAAAAAAAACTTACCGAATTGGTAAATTTTTGTGCAGCCATTTTAATACTGAAAATGGAAGAAATAGGCAACATTTGCAGTGTATTATATTTTATTATTTCAAGAAAGGTAAAAATGCAACTGAAATGCAAAAAGATTTGTGCAGTGTATAGAGAAGGTGCTGTGACTGATCAAACATGTTAAAAATGTTGCAGTTTCTTGGTCCTACTGACATTTTGGCCAAATAATTCTTTGCTGTGGGGCTTTCTTATGCACTGGAAGGTGTTTAGCAGCATCCTTCGCCTCTACCCACTAGAAGCCAATAGAAGGAGATAGCCGGCATACTCAAAATATCCGCATCAATGAAGTTATTGGTGAAAATGGAAAAAATGTGTCTTATTTTATGGAAAAAATTTAACGGACTTTTTGGCCAAACCAATATGTAAAAGACTTCCTTTGAACACTAAATACTACTTTATTTGTATGATGCTTTACATTTTCCCATCTACATTCATACCCAATTTCTCATTTTGCTCTTCAACAATATCAAAACCAGGTAATCAGGATTATTTCCATTTTAGAAATAGAAATATTAAGTGCTCAGAGATAAAGTAATTTATTCAAGTTTAGTTGATATGCTAGACTTTAAGAAACAAAGGCTTCTTAATATCATGTATTAAATAGCCCATGTTCTAAAATATAACTGCTGTCAATCTTGGGCAAACTTAGCTAGTATGTCTAGAATAAATACACATTTTATAACATAGTTTTATCTTAAACCGATTACAAGTATGCCTTTCACTAGTGAGAAAGTATTAACAGGAATTATAATCTAAAAATTTCTACCCTCCCCAAATAAATTGCTAAACTGGTAATAGTTGATATTTTAAAGATTTATTTTCCTCTAATAAAGCAGCAGAGTTTAGAAAATATAAGAGAAACCAATTCTCCCTGATGCACAAAGAAGGCAATTTTAATGAGTAAATATCCAGGTACAAAGGGCCTACATGTCTGTCAGATGGTACTTAACTGTTTCTATGCTCGTATATGCTTATGGGCAGGGATTTGTATTTGCCCATTTAGTAAAGGTACTGGGGACTTATATGCCAGGAGCAATGTCAGACTTGAAACTACAAAACTGATAAAGACATAGATCCCTGCGCCCTTATGGAAATTATTGGGGTATGTGTGAAGAAATGGGGAAAAGAACAAAAACATAATTCAGTTAAGTAATGAGGTCTGCAAAGATAAAATTGAACACACTGAGAGCTAAAACCACCCCACCAAAGAGAGGAGGCTACCAGGAAAGAATATGAATTTGAAACAAAGAAAACAAGTCAGACATGTTGTTATAAGCACAGAATTCCAGGCAGAGAGGCTAGCACTGGCAAAAGCAAAGAGAAAACAGCATGGCCTGCCCATGGCCGAGAGGGATGACAAGCACACGTAAGGGTTTTACTCCATGATGTAGGCAGTGGGGATAGATGACGTAACAAAGGCAGGTAGGGGCTAGATGCGCTAGTCAGGAAAAATCTTATGTATGTCCTGTTAAAGAACTCGTACTTCATCCTGAGGAGACTGGGAAACGCACTGAAGGGTTTTGAACTCCTGAAAATCAGGGTGAGGTTTATACTTTAAATAGATCTTTTTCTGTGGCAGGGTGAAAACTATTTATGTCACAGAAAGAAAAAAGTGCAGGTAAAGAGAATAACTGAGAAAACCTATATAGTAGTTAAGGTGGGATGATGAAGGGCGGAAAGAGGGTACTAGATGTGGTAGAGATGAGAATGAGAGAAGTGATTTAATGAAAGTTCAGGAGGCAGACCAGTAAGGGCTTTATGAATGGTTGATTGAAGCAAGAGAAAGGAATCAATGATGATCCTAGTACTTCATGTTTGGGTAAGAATTGGTAGGCTGTATTATCAACTGAAGCAGAGAACACAAGAAGTAAGGAGAAACTTTTGGGTGACTGGGGTGGTGGTAGAAGACATCAGAATTGATTTGACATCTGAATTTGCAGATATTTAGCAGGCAGTTAAATACTTTGACTGTGAAGCTTAGGGGAAAGATCCCTATTAGGGTAGAGGTTATGATCATAAGCTTTCCATTTTTGGACAGTTAATCACTATTTAATCACTTTCTCTCTGGCCACTATAAATCTTGTTTAGTTTCACTGGTTCTCGAAATGTGATCTGTGGACCACACCTCTGTTAGAGTTACACAGGGACCAGTTTATACACTCTGATGGGCCCAAAGATACTGTTCTCTACACTGAACCACCACCTTAAGTTATTCGGAGTATTTCATCTCAATTTCATGTAAAAGCTTTTCTAATATTTAAAGCAATTATGTCCTTCCTGAGTATTCTCTAAGGTGAATATAACATGCTAACTCAATGAATAATCCCTTTTATCCTGATCAGTCTACATAATGACTCTTCTCCTAAGTTTATAAAATACAGATACACAAAAATAGATGAAAATCACTTATATTCCTACCACTCAGACACAATCACTCTTAATATTTTTGCTGTAAATCTAGGTGTTTTTAAAGGTATATATATACATTCAAATTTTATAACACATTATCATAGAATCTATTTTATCTTTCAAATCCATTATAAACATCTTTCCATTCCATTAAGTCTTCTTTGTTTTAATGACTGTGTAAATTCTTTATGCATATTTAGGTTTTCAAATTTGCCTATTTCAAGTTACAACTATCATCCTTCTTTCCAATTATTTAGCCAAGTCCATAAAAATTTACATTCTCACAATCAAAACCAACATTTTTTTCACTCAAAAAAATTTGTGTAAATTCCAAAAGGAAATTAAGACATCTCATTATTGTTTTAGATTTTCTTTCTTTATTAGGCTGAATTTTTTTCCTGTTTATTAAATCACAATGATCTTGAATTTGACCATTTTATTATCTTTTTCTAGTATTAAAAACTGACAATAGCCCTGACCAGTGTGGCTTGGTTGGTTGAGCGTCATCCAGGCAAGCAAAAGGTTGCCAGTGCAATTCCCGGTCAAGGCACATTCTTGGGTTGCAGGCCTGGTCTCCAGCTGGGGTGCGTGCTGTAACCTATCAATGTTTTTCTTTTCTCCCTCTCTTTCTCCCTCCCTTCCCCCTTCTCTCTAAGAACAAATGAGTAAAATCTTAAAAAAAAGACTGACAATAAAAAAATAGCAGGCATCAAAATTATGAGGAAATTATGTCCAAATGTGTGATATATGTGTTAAGAATGTGGATGAACAAGTGAAAAAACTCTGTAATTAGGGATAAAAACAAAAAAAATATACAAATAGAAATAAACTTTCATGAAACTCAAATATCATGCCATCCTGCCTAAGTCTTAAGTGCTAAAGGACTGCTTGATAAGAATGACATCCTGAACATGTGTATATAATTTTGTTTCTTTCCTGAATCTCCAATTAAACTTCATGAAACTGATTTTGCTTTTTACAGGTATAACCATGCGAACACAGAAGAATGGGAAAGAGTCAGAATTTTGGAGGCTGGAAAGCAGATGAATGAATGGTATTAAACTTGGAAGACCTCAGAAAGACCCCATTCAAGAGGAGGAGATAGGGACAGACCGATTTACACCACAAAATCCTTAAGTGGCTCAGGATCTAAGACAACCTGGAAGGCAGGGTGAAAGGGAAAGCTGAAAATAAGGAAGCTGTTTCAGAAGCATTTGGATCCCCTCCTCAATTCCCTGTGGGCAGGACAACTAACATGTGCCGTGCTGACAGAGAAATGGAGATTTACTTTCTGGATAGAGGGTCTCCCTTGACTTGTACTGACACCAGGCATTGCTCAAGGTAGGGCACTAAAGCTCAGTCTTCCTCTCACTTGGCTCCCAGGCCTTTACATATGAGCAGGGTAGTAGTAAGGCTTTCTCTGGGGAACAGGACCAACACCAAGGGCCAGAAGAAAAACTTAGAAGAATCTGCCACACTGAACCTAGGTGAAGCTCACAACTCATGTTAGACCCCAAACATATCCACAGAGCTTTTTGGTGCCCTACTTTTAAACTTCAGCAGACAACCACTAATTATTGAGGAAAGTTTCTAATAAGAAAGATGGAGACCAGAACAAATGGAAAGGAGAAAAAAGCAATAGAGAAAAATCTTGTGGGAAGAAGAAAACATAAAAAAACAATACCCTCATTAATAGTCTGATAGAAAACACTGCCTTTGTGAAATATAAACAGGATGAAATATAAACACAAGAGGACTATTCAGAGAGCAAAAGGAACTCTTAGAAACGTGACAGGATAAATAAGTTTCAACAGATAGGTTGCAATGTGAATTTGAGGAAATCTCCCAGAAAACAGAACAAAAAGACAAAGAGATTAAAAAACAGGAGATGAGGAAATCACATAAACAGTCTTATAGGCATAACACCTGTATCACAAGGATCCTAGAGAAAAAAAAGAGAAAAAAATCACTAAACAAATAAATTGTGCAGAAGTGAAAACATGAATTTCCACTACAAAAGGGCCCACTGAGTACACTGGACAATGGATAAAAATGATCCAAATCAAGGTCTTAATAACATGACAATGAGATAATGAAGCAGTATGGTCAGAGACAAGATTTTTATAAGATACCAAAGAAAATGCATTTAGTCTTTCAAACAGCAACAATGGAAGTTGATTAGATCAATGCATTCAAAATTTGAAAGAATGATTTCTTTATGAAGAATTCTTTACCTAAACTTGCTCAAGAAACCACTGGAGAACATGTTTTACTATCTAAAGAACACAAAACTCTCAAGAGAAAGTCAGTAGGGAGGAAGGAATTTCCAGAATATTATATAGCAGACTTAGAGGACAACTGGACCAGAGAGAACAGTGTGACGACAGAAAGATTCATTGAAGGCTGTCACCATCAAGATCACTGCCGGTGTTATAATTTACCAGAGGTCTGAATGCTTGGAAGAGCCCAGATTCCTATTTGTGTATGCTTTCCTTGACCAAGTACTGATGAAGTCCTGGCTCTCCCACTTTGTTCCTGCACCTGCCTCATTTGAGTACATTTACTTCATCCCCAAGTGCCTTCTCTTTCTAAGGGCTGGAGGTGAGCCTTGGTGATCTTATGAGAAAACAGAGCTGCCCACTCCTTCTACTGGACTAATTACTGCTGGAGGTCCAGTGTTGACCCACACTTTAGTTCAGTGGTAACTATCTGTGGTTGGCCCTCTATTTGACAAGACTCTATGCTTGCTCAGTGACTCCCCTGGCCCCTGGGAGAGCTTTAAAACTCTTTGGAAAGCTGATGCTTGACATTCTGGAGCATCAGCTAGGATTACTTCCTCCTGGGAGCCTTCACCTGAAAGAGGCAATATCATACTCTTACCTGACAGGTCTGTTTGCTATTTGGTTTTTATATTAACCACCTTTCTCATATATCTTCAAATAGTTGTTAATAAAATATAATACTTGAGACCCTGGCTGGTGTGGCTCAGTGTATTGAGCTCCAGACTGAAGCAAAGGGTCACTGGTTCGATTCCCAGTCAGGATACATGCCTGGGTTGCAGGCCAGGTCCCCAGGAGGGGGTGCACAAGAGGCAACCACACATTAACGTTTCTCTTTCTCTCTCCCTCCCTTCCCTTCTAAAATAAATAAATTAATTAATAGATAAATAAATAAAATCTTAGAATAAGATACTTGAGGAAAAATATACATAAAAAATAAGCATGAGAATATAATTTTAGATATAGAATGTTTCAAAGATAAAATGAAAGAATCATGAATTTCATTTAAAATTTACAGAAAACAAAAACTATCATCCTTAAAACTTACTTGTGTGTCAATTTATTTACTTATCCTGTTGTTTTAGTTCAGGCACATGTAAACCTAGCCTTTCAGACTACCTGCATTTCCATGTTCCAAAATAAATCTGTGTGATATGAAAAAAAATTATCAAGTTTTCTTCCCTTGTTTAAGAGATACAATCAATCTACCCATCAATTAAAATGTCATTATTTCTGAATCATGTAGCTACAAAGTGTATCTGTATTTAACAATACATTTTTTTTATATTACTGAATATTGTCATTTCTAAAATTAGGTTAATACTAAGTAAAATAGGAATTTTGATATTCTAAGAATGTCTCTCTCATCCTATGTGTATCTCTAAAAAATACCCCCAAAAACCTCAATTCTCTGATCTGAAACATATTCCTCTTGGAAAAGATGCAACTTGGCATCTCTCCATGTATTTTATACCTGGGCTAATGTGGCAATCTGTGGCTGGGCTTGAACTGTCATTTGCTGGTTTTCAGCTTCTGTTACAGCTGCATCTCCACTCTGCTGGTTCTCTGCTCCAGATTCCATGGTCATTTAGTCACCTACAATAATATGGAAGAGTGTTACAAGCACTACAGTGCTTTGTGCTTTTGTGATTTTAAAGGCAAATTTCAACTTATAAATATGTACATGTGGTGGTTAGGTTAGCAAATGCACTAAGAAATCTAATTAAAATACAATGTAGCTTAATTATAATAAAACTTGTTCAAATTTGCTGAGCTATAAAAGTTTTAGTCCCTTGAAAAAAGAAAAAGCTTTTTCCCTTGTCATTTCTTCCCAAGGAAATATTACTCTAGATGTAAGAAGGTATTCTTTTCTTCAATGAGTCACCCCTATAAGCCAGGGGAGGACAAAGTTATTTTTTCAGACTACCAATTAGGTAAGAAGCGAGGGTAGAGAGGTGAGCTGATGACATGGTCTGTGCATACTGGCTTCACGGTACATCCTATAAGGGTATTCCCTCCTATTACAGGGAAGAAGCAAAAAAATTAGAAGCTACTTCCACAGGAAATTATTGGAGGTAGGACAAAATCCGCACAAGTTGCAAGAGCCCAGGTTGTGGGGTATTGATAGAAAGGTGGGGTAATTATCCACAGAGCCAAGTTAGAGACTCCAGTCACTGAAAACGTAGGTGTTCTGATTCCTCTCCCTATGTATAGTATATAACACTATGTTTATGCACACACACACACACACACACACACACACACACACACAAAATAAAAAGTTTTAAATTTTAAATTACAAAATTGAGGGTAAGTTAATTAAGACCCTTTTGGCATCTCTGGGCCACAATGGAAGAAGAGTTGTCTTGGGCCACACATTAAATACACAAACACTAATGAAAACAAAAACCCCTCAAAATATTTTAAGTAAATTTACGATTTTGTGTTGAGCTCTTTGGGGCCCACAGACCGTGGGTTGGACACCCCTGGCTTAGTATATTTGTTGGGTAATCAGGCACTGGATGGCAGCAAAAGTAAATGGAAGGCAAGTCTTAGCAGCAGCTACACATGAAGGTTAGAGAAATTTCTGATGACTGGGGAAGCCATCATGTGTAAATGAATGGGATTATTTCTTGTGTACTACTGTTATCACTCAGTGCCTAGCATATTACCTGTCAAAAATGAATTTATTAATAGTAAGGATTACCCACAGTGATTCCATAAATAACACAAAACCCCAAATGCTTTTCCAGAATTTATTACATTTATTTTATAACTGAAAATAATCAAAATTGTCATGGTTCCTTATGTGATTACTACATACCATCAGAATGTATCACATACTAGTACATTTTGCCATCATTTACAGAGTTCTATAAAAAAAGTGTTTTACAAGTATTGGTTAAAAACAAAAGTAAAAATATCTCTAGAAAGGAATATAAATAGTTTAGAAATACAGAATCCATGAAACAGATAACAAAGGAAAAGATCAACAACTTAACTATATATTACTTTAAACATTTATATGGCAAAAGCCACTAAGACAAGTGCACAGGGAGAAAGTATCTGCCACATACACAATTAACACAGTAACATCTAGAATACAGAGAAAGTACTAGTCAATAAGAAATCTTATTGAACTATTACTGATTAGTTCACAAAGATGTATGTTCAAAGAAATTTTTTATAATAGCAAAAAACTAGAAACAAGTATTCATCATTAGGAGGACCATTAAAGAATTTACAGCAATAAAAAAGAAAGAAATCTACCTATAGTGTAATAACACATAAAGCTTTCCAAGACAAAGTGAAATGGTGAGTCACGGAACATACTATAAAACAGATCCCTCATTTGTGTTAAAAACAAGTAAACCAAAATGTTGCAAAGCTATATGCATGGAAAAAGATGTGGAAAGTTACATACTACCTGTAAGTGTTAGCTATAAATAGATTTGGTAGACGTGTATAGGATGATGGCTTTCACCTCTTTTTACATACTTTAGTATTCTTTTTTCTTCCCATGAACGTCAGGATTACTTGTACAATGTAAAAAATATTAATACCAGAAGTCATGGATGACATTTTGAAACTATGAACCAAAAACTGTATTTCAATCATGATTTTGAGATACCTGTTTACAGAAAAATTTTAAATCCCAGATACTTTTACATGAAATTATTGTTTAAATTTTGTTTACCTTACATTTCCAGAGAGTAACTATTTTTAAAAATTATCAAAAATTTTGATTATCATTTATGATGATTAAGTTTATACTTACAATCTGTGCTCTTTTAAATGAAAATATTTAAGAAAGACATCAAAAGTAATAGAAAGCAACAGTAACAACTAAAGTTTGTGTACCCTAAATGTTGTGCATACTTTTGGTCTGGAAGAAAATGGATGTGAAAATAAAAAACCTAACTTTAGTAACAATAGGTAAATAAATCCACTTGAGAACAATACTGAGTCAAATCAAGTAAGAGCAGGAATCCATTTACTTTTCTACTTCTCCCCAGTCATCATTTTAATGAAAATGAAGATAAATTTATTACCACAATATCTGCAAAGGAGATGCTGTAGTATCATTTAAACAATACTTTATTTATAGCCACGTTTTTCTAACCTAAGCTGTCAGTGATTATAGTCTTACTCCATCGTTTGCTTAAACAAAATCTAAGCATTGTACATATTTTTTATTTTCTCTGTAACATATCTGGGTTACTTAATATTTTTGGCTTTTGAGACATAAGGTATCATTATAGCTTTTGTTTTAGAAAATATTTATGACTATTTTAACAAAGGAACAAAGCCATTATCTAACATAAGTTAATTATAGCTGCATTCAAGACAGAAGTGTGACTTGCATCCTTCTCTCCCCAACTAGATAATATTCTTTCTTTTTAAAACAAATTGTGGCCCTGGCTGATGTGGCTCAGTGGGTTAGGCGCAGGCCTGTGAACTGAAAGGTCTGCAGTTTGATTCCCAGTTAGGGCACATGTCTGGGTTGCAGGCCAGGTCCCTGGTGTATCTTTTACACATTGATGTTTATTTCCCTCTCTTTCTCCCTCCCTTGCCCTCTCTAAAAGTAAATAAAATCTTAAAAAAATAAAAATAAAAATAAAATAAAATAAAACAAAGTGTGATATTTACAAAAGACAGGACCCTCCATGTGAACTGCCAGTGTTTTATATTATTTTATGCAGGCAGACTACCAATCTTTTTTCAGAGGAGGAATAGCCTTCTTAATTTTTATACTCTTAGCTTGAGTAGATATGTCACTGGGGCAACAGTACAAATATTGTCTTCCATCAGAAAATTCAGAACTTTCTCAAAGTGGAGGTGAGAATGAATCATTTTTAAAAGAACAACCTGTATCTGCCCTGGCTAGTGTAGCTCAGTGGATTAAGCACTAGGCAGGCCAACAAACCGAAAGGTCACCAGAATGATTACTAGTCAAGGGCACATGCCTGGGTTGTGGGCCAGGTCCCAGGTTGGGGGTATGCTTGTCAACCAATTGATTGCTGATGTATCTGTCACACGTGTAAATTCCTCTCCCCAACCTCGGCCCCATCTCCCTCCTTTCCCCTCTTCTCTAAAAAATAAATAAAAATGCTTATTTTAAAAGTGCTTTAAAAATAAAAAATAAAAAACCTCTGTATGAGAAATTCAGTCATCACTCAACTAAAACAGACATTATTGTTTGGTTTGCACCTAGAAGGTACTGAAGCAGCAATATCCCAACTACACCAAATTAGTATCTGAAGTAGATGCATTAATTTTGGACTTTGAAAACTTTTGTTCTTTTTGTTTATATCTCTAGGTGGAGAGGGAAGAGATGCTGTAGTATCATGTGTACAATCTTTACTTTCCTACTAACCCAGCAGCAGTCTAGCCAGCAGTGCAGTACACAGACACAGGATTAGTAATTACAGAGCCAAAATGTGCACTTCTGAAATTGTTTGAAGAATGGAGAGTCCTGCCTAATTCACTACACAAATCAATGCTTTTTGGGTGCAAAACATAAAAGGACTGAATGGTACTATAAAATAAGAAAAAGATCATGCCTATATGAACTCAGAGAAAATGCTGTATAAATAATGGGCCCAGAACATTAGAAACAGAATAGATCTTACAAATCACTGAAAATCTAGTACTAGACTAGCTTGATGGTTTTAATTCTTATTCTTCCAGTAATTCTGAATATTAAAATTTAT